TCGGATCTGAAACACTGATTGTCTAACGCCTTGCGACATCTTCCTGACATGAAAGGGCTAAAAAAAATAATTTTGTTGTTGCATTGCTAACTTTTCCCGTCTCATGCACTATGACAAGGAAACTAATTACTATAAATGTTATAAAGCTGCTCAAATTATAAGAAACTAAAAATGCAACATTAGCCCTAAACTATAGAATTGCATACACAAATTTGAACTACAGAACATGCTGTCATTTTTGTTAATGTAATATCTAAAAAGTTATCTAAAAAGTAAATTGAAGTATAGGGTAAAAGCATGTAAATGAGACTGGAAGGATTGCTCTTTAAAAGAATCAGTGGAGATATGATGGCCTGAACTTTGGTTCTAATCTATCTTTTCTATTTGAGCTCTTGCAAATTGGGTGCTGTGTTTGCCAATAAAATATAGTCACTACACTTTAAAGTATATTTTGTAAAGAGCTTTGAGACATCCTTCCAACGTGAAAGGTGCTTTACAAAATGTAAGTTGTTTTTTTTTAAACTGATTCTTCAGATTACTCAATTACACTCTTCCCTCTATAATTTAAATACCACAGGCATATATAGTTTTAGTCATTCAAGATTCACACATTAAGAAAGCAGAGCCATCTGTTGTATTTCAGTAGAATTGCAGCCATACTGTCCAAGACTTGGAGAATTTTATAATAATTCTTGCATTTAATATAGCGCCTTATGTCATTGAGCAGTCTCAAAGTATTTCACAAGATATACTGTAAAATGGTGTGACTTGTGTTTTGTGGGTAAAATCTGCCTTATCCTTACACTAATCCCAAATTATATATTTACAGTGTGAAACAGCACAGACACAGACCCTTGAACCTACTTGGTTCATGCACGTGTTTATGCTCCACAACCCCCACCCCTCCTTTTCCCACATGTTTAAGTTCATGAACGAGTTTATATCTGATTGCTTTGCATGGAGGTAAGCAGTTAATGCTCAAGCTCTGTACTTGCAACTAGTGGAACCATCGCTCAGTGGTTCAAGATGTCTTACTAGGCTATTGGTGGGAAAATTCTACCATTCATTTTATATTGAGCTGTGCTGTTCACCAGGAAGCTCGCAGAGAGTTACTTGTACCATCCGCCTAGTGAAGGCTGAAACCTGCACTTCTCAGATGTCAAATGATCAAATGGTCACTATTATCCTTGAGGAACAAGTAAGAGCAACATCCTTAGGGCTGAGCTGGCTCCAAGATGACATGCTTGGCAATAATAATAATAATCCTTGCATTTGATATAGCGCCTTATCATGACTTCAAGACATCTCAAAGTGCTTCAGAGTATACTGTAAAGTGAATTGACTGTACATTTTGTGGGCGAGATGAGGCAGCCAATTGCGCACAGCAGTGTCCCACAAATGGTCGTGGATTGATTGACCAAGTTATGATGAAATATCAATGCTGTGGCGGTCTCGGTAGTCAAGTTCCTGATCCAGGTGTATCTGCAGTACTCCAAGGTACTGTTAATTACAGATCAGACAGTCTGGCTTGTCAAGAGGTTTTAGAGTGGTAGATCAGTCACTGAGAGCAGGGATTCTTCCTACTTAGCTTCTGTTAACCCTGCAAGCCAAAGCTGGTGGTTTTAGTTGAACAAGCAGCGGGAAGTTTGTCAGACAATGCTCTGAATTGCTAACCTGTGCCAAATTCTCTCAGGAATAAGGAGAGAAGAGTGCACATTCCATTCCAGACATAGGGAAATTTCAATGAGTAAGTGGCAAGCACACGTGGAGCCCTCAGTTTGGTTTTATATTCTTAAGTACAGTAATTAACTTCTACAAGTGTCAGACACTTCACCAAAAAACTAAGGAAACACCAATCAACATTGATGATACCCTTCACGGCAGGTTTTGAGATTCTGACTATATTCAAACTATATTATAGTAATCCTTTTATTTGTTATCCCAGAAATGTTTTCAGGTGCTTCAGAGCAATTTCTGGAAGTGTACATTTGTAGGCAAACTGGCAAACAATTACAGCAGATCACACAGGCAGCCATGAAGTGCATGACAGATTACAAAATACACAGTAATTACACTTTACAGTAAAATCCTGTGAAGCATGTCGAGACATTATATACATCGCTATATCAAAAGCATGGATCATTATTATTATAAGCAGAAGGATTGTTTGCCGGGAAATAAAATACATTCCCCTAAAATCATGAATGAAAGTGCATGCTGTTACACCCAGCAATTTGGAGCAGTTACGGGGCTGCACTGGGAGACTGAGTTATGGGGTTGGGGGTTGAGAGAGGGTTGCAGCTATGAGGCTGTTCTGTATGTGTGTGTGTGAGGTGGGGAGTGGGTGCTAGTTATTAGGCTGCTGTTAGTGTGGATTGTGATTATGAATCTGCTCTGTGTGTATGTGGGAGTGGGGGGAGATGGAACAGTTGCGGTTATGAAGCTGCTGTGTGTGTGTGGGGGGGGGGGGAGCAGTTACGGTTATGAAGCTGCTCTGTGTGTATGTGTGGGGGTGGGAGGCAGTTGCGGTTATGAAGCTGCTCTGTGTGTGTATGTGGGGGGGCAGTTGCGGTTATGAAGCTGTTGTGTGTATGTGTGTGGGAGGGGGGCAGTTGCGGTTATAAAGCTGTTGTGTGTGTGTGTGTGGGGCAGTTGCGCTTATGAAGCTGTTGTGTGTATGTGTGTGGGAGGAGGGCAGTTGCGGTTATAAAGCTGTGTGTGTGTGAGGGGGCAGTTGCAGTTATGAAGCTGCTCTGTGTTGGGGGGCAGATGCGGTTATGAAGCTGCTCTGTGTGTGTATGTGGGGGGGGGCAGTTACGGTTATGAAGCTGCTCTGTGTGTGTATGTGGGGGGGGGCAGTTGTGGTTATGAAGCTGTTGTGTATATGTGTGCGGGAGGGGGGGTAGTTGCGGTTATGTAGCTGTTGTGTGTTGGGGGGCAGTTGCGGTTATGAAGCTGCTCTGTGTGGGGGGCAGTTGCGGTTATGAAGCTGCTCTGTGTGAGGGGAGGTGCGGTTATGAAGCTGCTCTGTGTGGAGGGGGGGTGCGCGGTTATGAAGCTGCTCTGTGTTGGGGGGCAGTTGTGGTTATGAAGCTGCTCTGTGTAGGGGGCAGTTACGGTTATAAAGCCGCTCTATGTGGAGGTCAGTTGCGGTTATGAAGCTGCTCTGTGTGGGGTGGGGGGTAGTTGCAGTTATGAAGCTGTTGTGTGTTGGGGGGCAGTTGCGGTTATGAAGCTGCTCTGTGTGTGTATGTGGGGTGGGGGGCAGTTGCAGTTATGAAGCTGTTGTGTGTTGGGGGGCAGTTGCGGTTATGAAGCTGCTCTGTGTTGGGGGGCAGTTGCGGTTATGAAGCTGCTCTGTGTGGGGGGAGGTGCGGTTATGAAGCTGCTCTGTGTGGGGGGAGGTGCGGTTATGAAGCTGCTCTGTGTGGTGGGGCAGTTGCGGTTATGAAGCTGCTCTGTGTGTGTGAGGTGCGGTTATGAAGCTGCTGTGTGTGTGTGAGGTGCGGTTATGAAGCTGCTCTGTGTGTGTGTGTGTGAGGTGCGGTTATGAAGCTGCTCTGTGTGTGTGTGAGGTGCGGTTATGAAGCTGCTCTGTGTGTGTGTGAGGTGCGGTTATGAAGCTGCTCTGTGTGTGTGAGGTGCGGTTATGAAGCTGCTCTGTGTGTGTGTGAGGCGCGGTTATGAAGCTGCTCTGTGTGTGTGAGGTGCGGTTATGAAGCTGCTCTGTGTGTGTGTGTGTGAGGTGCGGTTATGAAGCTGCTCTGTGTGTGTGTGTGTGTGTGAGGTGCGGTTATGAAGCTGCTCTGTGCGTGTGTGAGGTGCGGTTATGAAGCTGCTCTGTGTGTGTGTGTGTGAGGTGCGGTTATGAAGCTGCTCTGTGTGTGTGTGGGTTATGAGGTGTGTGTGTGTGAGGTGCGGTTATGAAGCTGCTCTGTGTGTGTGTGAGGTGCGGTTATGAAGCTGCTCTGTGTGTGTGTGAGGTGCGGTTATGAAGCTGCTCTGTGTGTGTGTGTGTGTGAGGTTATGAAGCTGCTCTGTGTGTGTGTGTGAGGTGCGGTTATGAAGCTGCTGTGTGTGTGTGTGTGAGGTGCGGTTATGAAGCTGCTCTGTTTGTGTGTGTGTGTGTGAGGTGCGGTTATGAAGCTGCTCTGTGTGTGTGTGTGAAGTGCGGTTATGAAGCTGCTCTGTGTGTGTGTGTGAGGTGCGGTTATGAAGCTGCTCTGTGTGTGTGTGAGGTGCGGTTATGAAGCTTGTGTGTGTGTGTGAGGTGCGGTTATGAAGCTGCTGTGTGTGTGTGTGTGAGGTGCGGTTATGAAGCTGCTCTGTGTGTGTGTGTGTGTGTGAGGTGCGGTTATGAAGCTGCTCTGTGTGTGTGTGTGTGTGAGGTGCGGTTATGAAGCTGCTCTGTGTGTGTGTGTGTGAGGTGCGGTTATGAAGCTGCTCTGTGTGTGTGTGTGGGTGCGGTTATGAAGCTGCTCTGTGTGTGTGTGTGTGAGGTGCGGTTATGAAGCTGCTCTGTGTGTGTGTGGTGAGGTGCGGTTATGAAGCTGCTCTGTGTGTGTGAGGTGCGGTTATGAAGCTGCTCTGGTGCGGTTATGAAGCTGCTCTGTGTGTGTGTGTGTGTGAGGTGCGGTTATGAAGCTGCTCTTGTGGTGTGTGTGTGAGGTGCGGTTATGAAGCTGCTCTGTGTGTGGTGCGGTTATGAAGCTGCTCTGTGTGTGTGAGGTGCGGTATTGAAGCTGCTCTGTGTGTGTGTGTGTGTGAGGTGCGGTTATGAAGCTGCTCTGTGTGTGTGTGTGTGAGGTGCGGTTATGAAGCTGCTCTGTGTGTGTGTGTGTGAGGTGCGGTTATGAAGCTGCTCTGTGTGTGTGTGTGTGTGAGGTGCGGTTATGAAGCTGCCTGAATGACATTGAATTGTCTCGCGCAGCCTCACCGGAGCTGCTGTGCTCCACTCTCATTGGTGGAGGTCGGTTGGCGCAGTGCGCCTGCGCGGCGCCGAGCTGTCAGAGCGAACCATGGCGGCCGCGGCGGCGCTCGGCTGCCGCTTCTCCGCGGCCCTGACCGGCGACTGCATGGGAGTCGGTGTCCGCCGAGCCCGCGCCACCGTCCGCCACGGAGCCCAGGTGAGTCTCCGGCCCGAAAACGCCGCCGCCGCCGCCGCCGAGCAAAGAGACGGTTTTCGGGGTTGGGGCAGGTCGTTTCTTCTCGAGTGCAGTCACTCCCGAGTGAATTCAATGTCATTCGGGCGCCCGTCGCCGGGGAAACGGGGCCCAAAGGCCGCGGCCGACAGCCCCGGGGGGGGGGGGGGGGGGCTCGAGGCCGGGCCAGAGCGGCCCCTGAGCCGTCAAGTCCGCCCACCGGCTGCGGACGGTCGGTGTCGGCGCGAGCTGACCGCGTGCGTGCGCGTCTGTAACTGTCACTGCGGCGCCCCCTCCCCCTCGCGCGCTCTTCCCCTCCGAGAGCTGATGGTCCCTTCATTCAATCCGCTTTTGAATGTTTGCACCCACCCCGGACCCCGATGATTAACACCAGGGAGGGAGGGAGGGAATAGCAGGCCGCAGAATGCTGGGAATTCTGCAGTGGACGTCCTCCCCCCCCCCCCCCCCACCCCAGCAAAAAAAAAATCCTGAACATCCACGACAGCCTTCGCCACACGGCACCCGACACGGAGGAGAGAACGGGTGGCAGTTGGAGGGGCGACGCACGTCAGGGCCCAGAAAGTCGACGCCGACTGAAGGTCACGCCCGACACTTCTCAACCTGCTTTTGGTCCTCAAGATGCCGCTTTAAATGGGTCGGGTGTGGCATTGGGTATTAATCGGGAAGGCAGCCGCAAGGCAAAAGGTTTGATCCGGTCTGTGACGGTTTGTCGCTCTGCACTCTGAAGGCGAACTGCAGGGGGTGGAATTACCCCCCCACCCGATTCCCTTTATAGGAAGACCTGGATTAAGCAGTTGGCGCCCAGCCAGCGTGATACTCGGCATTGGGATTTGCACTTGGAGAAAATGAAACCGCCTGTCATTTGACAAACTGCCCTGTTAAGTGTGTGTTTTTTTTTAAACACACTCCAAAAAATATATTTATCGACAGGCTGCCAAGTAACTGAGAAGAGGGCTGCTGGCTATTGGAAGCTGTTGCCTGGAGTGTGGGTTCTTGTGCATGTGCTGATACATTTAGGGTTCAATAGTTACCCTGGTTCTATCCTCCCTGCCCTCCACCCCTCTGATCCCAACCACCCTGCACCAAATCCCCGACTGTCCAAGTGCCTTGAGATGCCCTCCTGGCGTGAAAGGAGCTACACAAATGTAAATGTAACCTTTAGAATGGTGACAGTTTGTGTATTGGCAATGGTTTGAGGTGGTGGCAGTGCACATTGGCACTTTATGACCAGTTGTACAGAAGCTGACATAATGGAAGATTGTTTGAGCTTTGCATGAAAAACTTGAAAGAGAACAAGTTGAGTGTTTTACACCTTGTCATCTGTGTAAGTTATAAAATGTTTTTTGCTGGAAATGAAGCATGATTGCCAGTATCAACAACAAAATTACATTTGTATCGGGCCTTTCGTGTTGGGTGGACGTCCCAAGGCACTGGACAATCAGTGTTTCGGACCCGAGCTGGGTGTCGAGATCGGGGAGAGAAGGAGGGTGACCGGAGGCACAGTCAAAGAGGAGGGTCTTGAAGGAGGCAAGGGAGGGGGTGAGGCGGAGGGGCTGCAGGATGGAGTTTCCTGTTAAGTGCATAACCTGATTTTATATTTTGTTCTGTTCATGATACTGTATTGACCAGGGGTTGTTAATAAAACAAATTTTTGGTGTTGCAGAATTCAGAAATTGGGAATTGTATTTAATGCTGGTCACCTAATCATCTTTTTAAGAACATTACAAAATGAACCCAAATTCATACTTTATATTACAAATCACTGTGATAAACCCAATATAAACAAATGTATGTAGTGTTTCTTTAAATTGGGTTGATGAAAGATCACAAAAGAGACAAACTGGAAGCTAGTCTGCATTGCAAAATCAATTGAGCTCAGGTCTCTAGAAGTCATGCTCATTATGCACAATGCTCTGGTTATGTCATAAGAGAAGGTCTGCATTCACTTCTGGGTCCATAGCGGCAGGCAGAAGAAAGTGATGATTCCTCGTGTTGGAGAAATGAGCTATGAGAACACAAGATGAACTAGCAGCCTTGTCTCAGTTGACCTTGTAGACGTATTTAAGATGCTTAATTGGATAGCATAAGTCTAGAACAGTATGCTCAGATGTGCCCAGGCAGCAGGAAAAGAGGGACATATTCAGGGTTGTAAGTGCAATTTAAGAAGGAAGTATTTGTTTATCCAGAGAGTGGTCAATAATTGGAATGGGTTACTAGTAATGGTGGTAGAGACTACATAAATTAATAAACAGCTTGATCCTGTAATGGAAATACTATAAGGTGGGTATTAAGGTTGAGTTCAAGTGGATCGAAAAACTTTTTTCACCTGAACATCTGTGATTTTGGAATCATCACAACTCACTTGTGATTTTATCAATAAAATATATTCTAAACATTACCTGGTATTCTGTACTTATGTTTTTAAGAAACTTATTTTATAATACAGCCATTTCACAGGCTTATTATAAAATATAGATTGAATTGTGATCATTATTTGATTTTGGATTCACTGTAATTTAGGTATTTGGAGCAGCTTCTGGGATGCTTTCAGTGCATGGCTTCCAACACAATCAGCAGCAGCGGAGGAACCTGTCCTTACATGAGTATCTAAGTATGGGATTACTGAAAGATGCAGGCATCTCTGTTCCCAAGGGTCAAGCTGTTCGTACACCTGAAGAAGCATATGCTGTTGCTAAAGCATTTGGTATGGTAATGACCATTACAATTATTATTGAGAATACATTTAGAATTGTTAGCATGTACAAAACTTTAAAGTCGTATGCTAGGCAGGGGGAAATAGAATAACAAGAAAAAGTAGAAGCTAAGACAGCTCAGTGATGGGAATAGATAAAAGATAATTTTGTTCAACACATAAAGAGTTTTGTATGTTTCCTTAAGTATTTTTCCAATTCCATTTAAATACTGGCGTGGACCCAGCTACAAAACCTGTTGTGCTAATGTACTCCACATTCTGACATCTTTATTTGTGAAAAAAAATTGGTGATGATCTTCCATTTATGCCTTTTTGATCCTTTCACCAATCAGTGGGAATATTCTCTTTATTTACTCTACAAGCAACAGTGCAACCCATTTCAATCCCTCTGCAAAGTGGAAGTGTTGTTTTGGATAGAGTGTTGGATTACTGTATGGAACTTCTTGGAGCCTCCAGTTGACTCCTTGATACCTGATCTGATCTGTACCCAGATTGAATGTGGTTAATTTAAATTGTGATGTTGAAAGTGTCAACTGTTGCATGCACTTTTTTTATAACTAAGAACATTTGTTAATTTTTGCAGTTGTAAGATTCCACTTTGGTGGTACAAGCAACATTTACAATTGGTTAAATTGGTGAAGTGTGTTCTATTATCGATATAGAGGCTTATGGAACAGGGTCCTTAGGGAATCGGTGGAAGCCAAAATGTTGTTTGTTTCAAGAACAAATGAGATAGATTTCTACTAGAAAATAATATCTTGGGATACAGTATATAGTTTGGGACAGGGCATATCAAGTGACTTCCATAATAATAATAATAATCCTTGCATTTGATGTAGCACCTTATCATGTCATTGAGATGTGTCAAAGCGCTTCACGGAATATACTGTAAATTGAATTGGCTGTACATTTGTGGATGAAACGTGGCAGCCAATTGCGCACAGCAGTGTCCCACAAACAGTTGTGGATTGAGTGAACAAATTATTTTGTTTTTGGAGGGATTATTACCCCCGGGAATGCGATCCGCCAATCGACTAACAACCGGGTTCCTACTTACTATCTGGTAAACAGAGGCGGAGTAAGGAAACCCTAAGGTTTCGCCCTGACCCACCCGGGAATTGAACCGGATGGTGGAAGGCAAACTAGATGGACCTTGGTCTTCTTTCGCCTAGCGAGTTCTTATGTTCTTATGTAGAGATATCAGCCCGGCTCAGTTGGTAGCACTCTGAGTTAGAAGTTGTGGATTCAAGCCTCACATTGGAACTTTGAACTCATGTAGTCAAGGCTGACACCGAAATCCAGTACTGATGTCCTAAGGTGCACAGGAAGACCTAAGGATTTTATCCGAAATTGAATATTAACAAGGCGGGTTATTGCAGGTGTTTGGGTCGTAGATCAATTTCCCTCTATAAACTTTGTTGATTTTCTTTCATAATCTTTAAAATTCAATCAGAATTAAAATTCTGATAATTTAGGACTATCAGAGAGGAAAAAAACATGAATTTATTTACCCTTTGAATCTTTGTCCATGATGTCAATCGTGGAAATTTGATCTTTAAAACTCTCCACCTTCCTCTACAAAGAAACTACTTAGCAACTATCAATTTTTATCCCCCATTGTTATGTTTAAGCAAGCTGCTGCTATTAACTTTTGTCTACCCGTGTATGTATCGTGAAAAAAACTTTTTTATGTCTGATGTGACAGTAGGTATTTCTTTCTTTTGACATAAATTACCATATACTCATATTCCTTTGTTGTACCTGTCCCTTCTATGAATCCTATTTTAGTTGTGCAATGAGTATCTTTGTTTAACAGCCTCTCTTACACAAATGACTTTGCACCTTTCATTGTATAGACAGCCAATTACATAATCGTGCTGTGCAATCCACTATTATCCTGCTCATGCCCAACATTCGGCTGACATCCACCCCATAATCCTGATCAGAATTTTCCGCATGCGCATGATCCAAATTCCTATGTAGATTGCCAAAAGATGATATTTTATTATTTATTATGATTTGGTGTTTGCTGACTCTTCAAAAAATATTTATTCAGTTGGAAAAAAACTACTAGGAACATCAAAATAAGTTAGGTGCATCATCTAATTGGAAAAGATGCTGTAAAACTGGGAGAACTTTATAGGGAAGATATTTCTAGATAATGATATTGAGTGTTGTAATTAATAATAATAATAATAATAATCCTTGCATTTGATATAGCACTTTATCACGGTTTCAACACGTCTCAAAGCGCTTCACAGAATAAGCTGTGAAGTGGATTGACTGTATATTTTGACTGTATGGGCGAAACGCAGCAGCCAATTGCGCACAGCAGTGACCCCAAACAGTCATGGATTGAGGTGACCATTTTTTTCTTTTTTTTTAAGGATTTATTACTCCCAGAAAAACAATCTGCTGATCGACTAACAACCAGGTTTCTACTTACTATTGGGTAAACAGAGGCATGTGGAGTAAGGAAACATGCCCAACATTTCGCCTTGTCGGGAATCGAACCCAGGTCTCTCGCTTGCGAGGCGAGTACTCTAACCACTGAGCTACAGGACTCCAATATTGGATTAACATTCTGAAGTGATAAAGAAGCTTGATTAAAATCATTTGTAAAGTCTAACCCTGAATATACAGTTTTTTTCAAAACAATTTCCCATTGGCATAATGTTTTTCAGTTGTGTGGACTGGTACTAATTTTCTAGTGTGATTTGTTCCTCTAATTCTCTCATTTTATGCCCTGAAACAGGATAATAAATCATCGTTTCACCACTCACTGGCACTGTAAATATACTTTTCAAAACAAAACAACTGAGTTCTGCGTATGTATGGGCTTCTGTTAGTCCGGTATGGAGTACATTCACTTTCTCCAATTGATGATAATCCTTGCATTTAATATAATGCCTATTAAGGATCAAGAATGTCTCCAACGTTTGTGTAAGGGGCAGTGTGGGTAACAGAAGATCAAGTATGGAATGATCTAGTTGACGCTTAAGCCAATGCGGGAACAAATAAGAGTAGATTGTTGTGACTGAGATACTGATCCCATCTTACTCACAATTAGAAGGTTTTTCATGAGCTTTGATGCAGCAGTAGTAGAGTTCTAGGCCTAACCGCATCTTACTTTAATAATTTCTTGTGGAAGGGTACAATATTTGCTACTTCCTGTTCTGGTAGGACAATATAGTTGAAATAGATGAGCAAGGAAGCAGTTGGTTTGTTTGGTGAGGCCTTCGAGAGGCTCACTAAAGACCCAGTATCCTTAGAGGTTCAGTAGATTTGTCTGAATGTTATTAGGTCTTTGAGGTCTTGTAACAAGTTAGAAAATGTGAGATAATGAGGGATTATTTCTGATTGATACTGTGCATTCAGGCTCAGATCCTTAGCTGATTGGTTGCGTGATCATCTCTGTTTACTTGAAGCACTTGTGTTTTTGGCTATTGCTGCACCAAATATTTTACTGCGGCAGGCTCTGTTTCAACTGCATAGCTTCTTGTATAGGATGTGGATCTCTGAAGAGGTGATTATAATGTATTTTGAGCTTCATACTTGAGAAAATTGTAATTACCCCAGGCACAGTCCTTGCATATATCTAACAGGTGATTTATCTATTTGTTTCTTGATTGAAGAGTAGCTGCATCACAGCTGGGATACAAAGAACACACTCTAAAAATCTGTGAATGTCAGTGGTTCATTATTCCACTGACAATGGAAATGATTAGGCCAGCCATGGTTACAGTACCCTCCATGACTGTCTAACAGGTGAGATAGGTGTGTGTGTGGTAAGTGGGGGGAGGGATGGGGAGAACATCAAATGGAATATTTGCTATATGCACTATTGACCTAAAAAATATCTTTTGAAGTGATGGTTACCTTGGTCTTTGTGGTGCTACTAATGTGGAGCTATCTGACAAATTTACTTGCTTCAGCATGTTGTTGTTCGAATGGTTCCTATTTCCGTAGGTAGTAATGTTTCCTGAAGAATAGAAGAGAAATCAGCTTCTGGCTTAGTTGGAGGAAAGTATGTTTCAATTTAGTTGATAGCTGATAGAATTTAACTGATGTTACAGCAGGTGGACTTTGCTAAGTAATTCAGATGACAATTACGTAACTTACATTAACTGGATGAATAGAACTCTGTCGAGAAACCTTTAGAGTAAAATGCTAGTGAAATAATTAGCTCTTTAAGTGCTTTTTAAAAAAAACTTTCATTTTCATTTTCAAATTCTCAATTTCTTGTTACCTTATCTTGGAGGTGAGATATTGGATATGTTGGGATATAGTACAATGGTCAGCATCTCTGAGATAAGTTACCCAAATGTGAGAGAAAAAAAGTTAAAATTAATTTGATTTCTCATTTGTTGCCTTGCTGGGAAAAATTTTTTTTCACTGGGTGCAATTGGCTGCCGTGTTTTACTCACAAAATATACAGTCAATTCACTTTATAGTGCTCTGAGACATCTTGAAGACCTGATAAGGTCCTATATCACATTCAAGGATTACTATTATTTGCCTACACAGCAATATTCCTTGTTACAATGCAAGTGTATTATTTATTTATTTGCATATTATCATCCTATCCATCTTGTGATTCAGATGGATGTTAAGGGATCCCCTCCTCTCCATAGTAACTACTGTATTTCAAAGAACTTATGATTGCTCCTCAACAAAATTTTAATTAATAGAATTATACAACACAGAAGGAGGCCGTTCGGCCCATCGTGTCGGTGCCGGCTCTTTGAAAAGAGCTACTCAAATCAATCCCACTCCCCCTCTCTCTCCCCATAGCCCTGCAAACTTAATTATTAGGCTATGCGTTTTATTGTTTGATGGAGGATATTCCTGGTGTAAATAAGATGTTGAGTTTTCCTAAATAACATTTACTTTATGTTTACTGTGTTTTGAGACATTTCATTTACGTTAAAAGATATTCTACGAACACAAGTTTCTGTGTTTTAAGAGTAAATTAGGGTTTTTGACTACCAGAGCCATGAAATTTTAATCCAATGTCATAAGGAAGCCACTGAAAGTGATCTGAAGCCTTAGCTATTCCGTGGATGGGATAGAACTTGCCAAGATGGAAGCTAAACAAGCTCCATGTGTATTAGTTGACTGATAGCTCACTTTGTCCAAAAAGTGTGAGGCGAGAATAAAAAAGGCAAACCATATGCTAGCCTATACTGCCAAATCAGTTGAGTTCAGATCATTAGAAGTCGTGCTCATGCTGTAGAGTGTTTTTATCAGGCTGCACCTGGAGTACATTACAGTTCTCGTTGCTGAGACTCGAGGGAGCTTTTCAAGCCCTAGAAACATTGCAGAGGAGAGTAAATGAAGATGATTCCCACTGTAAGAGGAATGAGCTACAATCGGTGATTAGATAAGTTAGAGTTCTTCAGTTTGTAAAGAGATGGTTCAGATCAATATACAAGATTCCAAATGAAATTGAGAAAATAAACCTAGGGACAATATTTTCAGATGTGGTGAAGTTGATAGATAGAGTACCTTTCAGTCCTATTTACCTGCCCTTTCCCCAGGCCCTTGAATTAGCAATTCTATCTGGGGGATTCGTGGCCAAGATAGAATCATAGAAATTTACTGCATAGAAGGAGGCCATTAAGCCATCGAGTCGAGTCTGCATCACTTCTCAGAGACCACAGGTTGTTTTAAGGCCATTTTTATGCAGTTCTTTAAGAGGGTAGTTAATTATTGGAATGGTTTACTTGGAAAGGTGGTTGAAGCCAGGACTCTAGAATGCTTGTTCCAAAAGAATATACTTCAATATAATCACAGGCTAAAAATAATTTACAACATAAATTCAGGCAGTAAGTTCTCAAAATGTGCTTCTTACTCTATTTCTGTTTTAAAAATTCAAAAGAAACTGTTAGGTCAAACTAATGTAAATTAAGCCTCCATTTACTATTTAAAAGCAAGTCTACGTGATCACTGTTTAGTGCATTTCTCCTGGGTATTTGACAATATAATGGTTGCCAGTACTTGTGCTATACAGTCTATGCAAATAGCCTGTACAGCATGAGTACTGACAACCATTATATTATCAGATATTCAGGTATTTTCTCCCTTGTGTGATTATGAGACATTATTGTTTAGCAAATTGGTTCCTGCAGTTGCCTACAAAATACAGAGTCACTACATGTTAAAGTAAATTATTTGATGTGCTTTGCAATGTTCTCCGAATGAGAAAGGTACTCTGATCAATTGCAAGGATTATTATTAATAATAATTAATTAATAATAATAATCTATACAAATATTTAGAATATATTCTGTTTAGGAATGTGCAATAAAATAATTTTATAGACACTGAATGAAAGTGAAAAGTTTAGGCCTTTTATGCTCACAGTCTATGTTTAGGGAGCACTAGTTATCCTTTGAATGAGATGTTAAACCAAAGACCCATCCTGCTGGTTTCGATAAACTTAATGAACTCATTAAACTATTTGAAAAGAGAAGGGAGTTTCTCCTGATGCTTTGGCCAGCAGTCCACTTCATGGCTGTTTGAGGCATTGCTGCACGCAAACTGGTTGCTGCGTTTGTCTACAGTCACTGCACTTTACACTAAATGTAAGGATTATTATTATAAATTAGTTATTTACTTTCTGGATGGGACATTGCTGTGCAAGCGCAAGCGCCTTGGGACGTCCTCTCGACGTGAAAGGCGCTCAATAAATGGAATGTTGTTGTTGTTGTACAGTCACACTTAACATTAAGTCCTGTAAAAGTGCTTTGAGATGTTTCAGTGTTATAGGTGCTATATCAAATGCTAGGATTATTATTATTGAATGTTGCCTATTCAATACTAAAGTGGCAAGTAGATTCATTGGTAAAAAGGTTATATAACGTGCAAAATTATTTCAGAGGATTGCATTTTTAATTTTATGTTCTGATTGCAGGTTCAAAGGATCTTGTTGTCAAAGCACAAGTATTAGCTGGTGGTAGAGGAAAAGGTGTATTTGAAAGTGGTTTAAAAGGAGGAGTGAAAATTGTTTATTCGTAAGTATAAGGCAAACCACAAGAAATCTATTCCTGAACCAGAGGTGTATATGGATGCACAATGTTTTACAGAATATTTCTTGTAAAACTTGCTTGGTTCCCCTTCTGATTAACGTTCAAATCTTTTGATTGATTCATTCATCATGATGAATATGGCCACTTGTATGTAGTATAGGGAAAATACTCCAGCTTCTTGCCTGAAATGTTTACACTATAATGTTTCATACAAGAGAAATCCTGAGGCATCAGTTGGGGCTGCTGCAAAGCTGCTGCCCCCTCCCCAATTTTACCAGATATATTTTTTGCTAAGGACTGACAAAGAGTTGTATTTCTGTGAATAACAGCTATTACTGTGTGTGAGAACTGCAGTGACTTGTTTTGACCCTAGAAAGTAATTGCCAATAATCAAATAATTATGGACTAGTTCTTTTGTTATTAAATTAAACATTTTTAAAGAAGTGTTTCTGAATTGGATTATGAAACATTTTATCATATTTATACTGTCGATTTTGAGTTGGATAATTTAGACACAATATTGGTTAAACTTACTGCATATCTCTGCAAAAAGACCAATTTGTTGTCAATTTGATCTCTATTGCAGTCCCGAGGAAGCCAGGGACACATCTTCAAAAATGATTGGAAAGAAGTTGTATACCAAGCAGACTGGAGAGAAAGGAAGGATATGCAACCAGGTTTTTGTCTGTGAGCGAAGATATCCCAGGAGAGAATATTACTTCGCAATAACATTGGAACGATCCTTTCAGGTGAGTGAAATAGTTAAGACTGACAATGCCTTAATTTCTCAATGTGTATATCAAATGATTGTTTTACCTTTGATTTGTGGTACCATTTAAAATAGATTGTTTTTCTTTTTATTCACATGGAAGGCCTTACATTAAGAGGACATAGATATATTTTTCTAATCATAGGGTTTTCTGGAAATATTTCTGATTGCAGTAATTCCAATGAAAAGCTCATATAGTTTATTCCAGTGCCAGAAGTAACCCGAAACTCACAGTATCCTTTTGGTCTCTCAGTCTGCATTTCTTTCCAGAGTTCAGTAAAACCTGAGCAGAAGATTTGCTGCTATTTATTATACAAATGTTCTTTATATTTTGTGGGTGAAACGCAGCAGCATAGCAGTCCCACAAACAGTTGTGGATTGAGTGACCGCATTTTAAAAAAAATATATATTAGAGAAAATTAATCTCTTGAGGTGAGCCTTTTGGTAGCTCTAGGTACAGCAGTCCCATCTCATCCAGTTTGCAGTAGCATCCTTTAATGCAGTCCAACTGGACAGTATCACATTAACGTTGCAATACTGCCATTGAGGTTGATGCTGGACATGATAATAATAATCGTTAAATTTGATATAGTGCCTTTTATGTTGAGAGGACAACTCAAAGTGCTTCACACGATATACTGTGATGTATAGTGGTAGTATATTGTGTTGACAAAATATAAATGTATTGTACAAATGTGTGATCAGTATGTAACTTCAATGGAATCTGCCTTTTTGCCAGAGTTTATAGATCACAGAATTTTATTTTTTTTACCTCTTGCCACTTGATGGCAGTGTAGTAGTTTAAATAGAAAAAAAGTACATGCACATTTAATTCTCTGCCTTTGAAGCAACTGAAAAAGATTGGGGGGTTTGTGTTCCAAATCCAAATGGAATAATTAAAAATGGGGAATTATGGAATATAATTGGCTTAACTAAAAAGATCAGTTGAACATGTCAACTTCAGATTAATCTTTAGTTATAAATAATTTAGAGAATCAATCCGTATTGTTGCAATTGATCTGCAATATTTTGTTTTATCCTACCTTTTCGTCTCTCCTCTTCTAAAGACATCTCACCCAAGGAACCCTGGCTTATTTTATTTACTATCTCATCTTTACTCAAGAGTGTTGATGCAAATTCCAACACCTCAAATGCTCTCCTGACTGAAAACTACCTTAGTAATGTACCTTAAATTATCATTGATTCCACAATGAAATAATCTTCTTTAGGAACGTAGGAATTGCTAGACGACAAAAGACCAAAGCCCATCTAGTTCGCCTTCTACCTTCCAGGTAGTTGCTTGCTACAATAATGGAGTTATTAATTCTGTTTGGATTAGTCTAATTTAGTTTTTTTTTAATAGAACACTACCTAGATGTGGTTTTATTAGATGGAAGAAGCTAATGTAATTATGCTGTACACGCATTTTAATATAAATAACATTTTCTAGATGAAAACGTAAATGCTTCTGCAGTTTACATGTATCTAAATATATAAAGGGTTATAATATGGTTTAAAGAAGATCAATTGTACGTGTAGTTAATTTTTATCTAAATGACTTGCCATATCCCAAATATTTATAAAATGAAGTGTGAAAATGTACCTGGTGAGATATCATTTTTAAAAATAGAATTGTCATTATCAACATTTAAAAATAACCTCAAATGACTAAAGTGTTTTTTTTTAACTTTTGAGAATAATTGGTCTTATACTGCTCATTGTTTCCCCTGTAGTTAAGGGGCATTGCCAACGCTACATTAAACTGGCCAGTAAGTAATGCAGCAAATTGCCTAAATTGTCATATTCATGTAGGGAAGTGTCTTCACACAGCAGAACAGAGAACAGCAGCTCAGCAGAGAGAGGAACTTTGCCACCTGATGGAAAGGTTCTTGTGTGTTTCAGGATTTTAGTTTAGAGTAATTTATTAATTGCATTAGTAAGAGTTTAGGTATCAGCCAGTCATCAGGAACATTGCTTGATCTTTTTTTTAAAAGAATCAATATTTCAGAATTTAAACTCCAGGGATTTGATAGAACGTCTTTCACATCAGGAGGATGTCTTGAGGATTCACTGTAAGATTTAACACTTTTATCTTTGTAGGTGAACCAATAGTCCTCAGAATTGTGGGCTCTTTTAAAGAAATGGCCAACCATTGATTAATTGAAATGAGGAATACTTTTAGAAGGAAATTGTGTGAAAATAAATATTTTAATCTAATTGCAGTACTGTACTTGTTGCTCATAATTTGCATTCAAATGTGATGATGGTTCTGTACCAGGTAATGAAACTTTCAAGTTTTGAGTTTGCTTTTGGGCATGTGATATGTCAGTTGGAAATTGGAATTCTCAGAACACAACACATTATTTAATTTCCAATTTTGGTGTTTGCACTATCCAGTTGTTCTACAGCAAATTACTGTACAGTTGATTTTCCAGATTTCCATTGTACAAGTTAGTTGTACATTTTGAGGAACTGATTTTAGTGAAACTGCTAACTGTTATTTTTTCATACTGCTTCTAGACTAGTTTCTGTGGTTTAGAAAATAAATTTACACTGAATTAACTGCACATAAGTGAAATTAATGTTGGGACTGCACAGTGCTTTGTTCTTTTGGCTTGGTGGGAAGGGGGGAAATCAAAGCATCAATAGCCCAAATTTCTCAAATAACTCAGAATATTGGATTCTTTCCATACTAAAAAAAGATTCTTATTTATGCCAAACTGATCTTTTTTTTCCCTTTCAGGGACCAGTATTAATAGGTAGCTCACAAGGAGGAGTCAATATAGAAGACGTAGCAGCTGAGAACCCTGAAGCAATTGTCAAAGAACCTATTGATATTATTGAAGGCATTAAGAGAGCGCAAGCTGTCAAGGTATTACGCATAGTTTCCAAACAATAACTGGAAGAATTAAAATGGCTAATGCTATTTTGGGGAACTGTTAATTCTATTTTTTTCATTAATGCAAAATGTTTTTATATTTCCATTAAAATTTTCGTTGGATCTGAACAGGCAGGTGTTGGGGCCCGAGCATGGGGGAGGGATGGTGTAGGGGTGAGGGAAGGCAGAGAGGTGGGAGGGAGACCGAAGGCACGGTCGAAGAGAAGGGTCTTGAGAACAGCCTTGAAGGAGGCAAGGGAGGAAGCGAGGCAAAGGGACCGTGGGATGGAGTTCCAGAGTGTGGGGGCAGAGAGGCTGAAAGCCCGGCCATCGATGGTAGGGCGGGTCGGGCGGGACACAGGTAGCAGACCGGAGCCCAATGAACGGAGGAAGCGGGCAGGTTGGGATGGAGTCAGCAGGTCAGAGAGGCAGGAGGGGGCAAGGCCATGGATGGCCTTAAAGATGAGGATGAAGATCTTGAACTCAATTCTCTGGAGGATGGGGAGCCAGTGGAGTCGGGCGAGATGGGAGTGATGGGGTCATGGAACCTGGTGCGTGAGATTACACAAGAGTTTTGGATGATCTGCAGCTTGTGAAGGGAAGAGTTGGGAAGGCCGATGAGGAGGGAGTTCCCGTACTCAAGCCTTGAGGTGTCGAATGCAGGGTTGGGGGTTTTGGCAGCCTGAGGGGTGAGGCAGTGGCGGAGTCTGGCAATGTTGCGGAGGTGGTGGTAGGCAGTGCTGGTCATGGCGCGGATGTGGGGGAGAAAGGACAGTTCAGGGTCAAACAAGATACCCAAGTTCCTGACTGGTTTAGTGAGGTTGAGTGTGCAGCCATGGAGGCTAATGCTGCCAGCACCTGAGGTGCGGAGGCGCTGGCGTGAGCCAATCAGAAGGGCCTCGGTATTGCTGAGGTTGAGTTGGAGAAAGTTGGCCCTCGTCCAGGACTTGATGTCGGACAGGCAGTCGGTCAAGACGCCAGTAGTCCTGGAGTTCTTGGTAGAGGCAGAGAGGTAGAGTTGGGTGTCATCCGCATACATGTGGAAATTTTCCCCATGTCTGCGGTTGACGTCACCAAGGGGGAGTATGTAGAGGGTGAAGAGGGGACCGAGGACAGAGCCCTGAGGAACACCGCACGAGACAGTGTGGGGGCTGGAGGAGAAGCCGTTTGGACCCTATTGGAAGGAGAGTTATAGGCCAAACTAAACTTATACGATACATTATTCCATCGCCTAGTTTTAATAACATTTTTAGCATTGGGAACTGATGCCTATTTCAGATTTTGTTGGAGGAGAAAGTGCTTTTCAGAATTAATGGAACACATTTTATTTTACATTTTTTTTAATAAAAATAGACTTTGCACACTCCTTTTCTTTCACTCTTTCCTTTCACTTGTCACTGCATTTCACAGTGATTTTACCCATTCCCAGGCCTCTGCCAGCATTACTCTGAACTTAGGCGCTAGAAAATGCACAGGAGCATTTTTACTTTTGTGAATAGGGATGCACTCAGGCTTTACCTTTTACTTATAATAATAATTCTTGCATTTGATATTGTGTCTTATCACATCATTGAAACGTTTCAAAGAGCTTCACAGAATATACTGTCGTGAATTGGCTGTGACCTGATCTGTATATTTGGTGGGCAAAGCACTGCAGCCAATTGTCACAGCAGTGGCGCAAAGACAATTGTGGATTAAGTGACCAAATTTTTTTTCTTTTTTTTTTACTTCGCGTACCATGTGTGGGAGATGAGGTGTACACCAAATGAAACTCAGCCTGTGGGGAAATTAGGCATGAACCTGTGCTGTACATTAAATGAATCGGTATAATGTCACACCACACCTTGAACTACAGGGTAACCTCGTCAGCTCCTTTACGCGACCCATTGTAAAGTGCTTTATTGTAACATGGCTTGTGTTAAAGGAAGTATTGAGGTGATGGTAATTAGAATGTGGATCCTGACAATACCAAATAATGAAAAATATGGGTAGAACACTGGCTAGCTCATTTCAAAACTTCTGGCTGGCTTTTGCATGCTAAAGAAGTGACCAACTTCCAGGTCAGATCACAGCCAACATCACTTACTGCAGCCCTATAGTTTTCTGCACATATGTGCACTGAAAGTCGAAGCGCAGTACGCCGATTGTGTCCTGTTAGACCAGAGTTTGGGATTTGTGGACCACAACTATCATGTTATAATGGGACTCTACTGTATTTTCTGATTTTTTAAAACTTTTTTTATTAACAAAATTGTTAATTCTATTTTAAGCATGATTTAAAACAACGTCATTATTGGAATATCCTCTCCTTTGATTAGATTCCTGAGCAAATTTAGTTTTAGCATTTCAAGTTATCTATCCTAGTTGAATAATTGTATAATAATTAATCTTAAATTAAATAGTTAAATATTTAAATCTTGTAGATATTGTAGCTTGTAATTCTTGACAGTTATGATAATATAATAATACACACCTCAGGCGCTGGCAGCATTACCATCCATGGTTGCACACTCCACCTTGCTAAGCCAGTCCGGAAGCTTGGCCTCTTGTTTGACCCTCAGCTAACCTTTCTACCCCATATCTGCACCCTGACCCACTCTGCCTTCCCCCACCTCCGCAACATCGCCCGGCTCCGCCACTGTCTCACACCGCAAGCCGCAGAAACCCTCATACATGCTTTCATTACATCGAGGCTTGACTATGCAAACTCATTGCTTATCGACCGCCCAATATCCTCCCTCCATAAGCTGCAGATCATTGAGAACTCTGCAGCCCGTGTGGTCTCCCGCATTAGACTCCGTGACCCTATCACCCCCTCCTCACCCGACTCCACAGGCTTCCCATCACACAGAAGATACAATTCAAGATCCTGATCCTCACCTTCAAAGCCCTCCATGGTCTTGCTCCACCCTACCTCTGCGACCTCCTAAATCCCTACCATCCTGCTCGCTCCCTCCACTCAGCGGGCTCTGGCTTGCTTCACGTCCCCCGCCTCGCTTGCCCCACTATTACCCCCACCCTCTGGAACTCCATCCCGCAGTCCTCTGCCTCGCCTTCTCCTTTGCCTCCTTCAAGACCCATCTCAAGACCCTCCTCTTCAACCGTGTTTTCGTTCTCCCTGCTTCCACCCCTACCCTCCACCCTCCCCGACCCCATCTATCCAGCGCCTTGGGACGTCCACCCGACGTGAAAGGGGCTATACAAATGTAATTTTGTTGTTGTTGTACTTGCATTTGATCATCAGACATCTCAAAGCCCTTCACAGGATATACTGTAAAGTGTATGACTTTATTTTGTTGTCAAAACGGCCTGCCAATTTGTACATAGCTGTGTCCCATACACGGTCAAGGAGTAAATTTTCTTTAATCACTTAATATTGAGCTATTTGGCTTTCTGCAAAATTGTCTTTGCAAAGGGTTAGGATATGACTATGACTACATTTAACATTTTCAGATTGCACAGAAAATGGGTTTTCCAGCTAATGTTATAGAAGATGCAGCAGACAACATGATCAAATTGTATGAGGTTTTTATCAAATACGATGCCAGTATGATTGAGATAAACCCTATGGTGGAGGATGCAAATGGAAATGGTAAAGTACATTAGATTGTTTATTTCAAATTTGTTACTCAATGCTTGATAATATAAGATTTTATACGATGGAAATTCAGTTAACTTTTGAAAAAAAAGTTACTTAATGTTAATGTCCCAGATTTGAACCTTTGGTCTGCAGAATTCTTGATTAAAATAAAGGTAAGGTAAGTACAGNTTTTTTTACCACAAGCTTATAATTAGGATGTGCCTTGTTTTTTGTTTTAGTGCTCCTCGCTACCTAATTTTTACTTAGTTGTAGCCCATTTTGTTCTGAAAAGTTAAGATTGTGCAGAATGGTGGAAACAAATTAAATTCAGTTGTAATTAACTAATTCATTGACTATTTATTTAATTAATTCACCAGGGTCTAGCAGTCCTGATCCTTAATAAATATAGTATTAATGGCCTTGAATTTTGCAGTCTCTTTAGGTAAGTATCAAGTGTTAATTCGGCAATAGAAAATTGAATCAAATTTATTTAACTGTTGTAGGGGTAGAAATCCACCTAGGTCTAGATTCAGTCTCTTAGCACTGACAGGTATCCAGAATTCGGGAAATCCCTAAATACAGTCTTAACTTTGAACACCATTCTCTTTAAGTTTTCTTAAGAACTACAAAAAATTGTTTAAAAGTTAAGACTGAATTCAACAGTTTGTCAAATTTTGTATTCTCTAAAATGTGACGAAAATTGAGTAAATCTAGACACAGTGCAACTTCTTCCTGGTAGATTTAAATAATGTAATTTACAACACGAGCACAAATGTAGTAATGCTGACCATTACTTTAGAAAATAACTTTAGAAAACTCCAAGGTTTATTCCAGAATATAATTTTTATGCCACGGTCTGGTTTGGAACATTAAAAACTAGGAAGGGTGGTTGAGATCAGGACACTGCGCAAGTTTTAAAAAGCGGAGTGATGCTGTGATGGGAGGAATGTAGAGTGGGTTTTCTGGAGTGATGAGATTACAAGATCGTAAGATCGGTTTATGTGAAGAGATGCTTTGGCCCATCTGATCTCTTCCAGAATACCCACCCTACAGTCCTGCCATTACAGCATCAAGCTGCTTTTTAACATATTTTAACATATTAACATATTGCCTGTTTAACATGTTCTTCATCCAAACCAATCTCATGGAATAAAGTCACTTCCGCTCACCTTTTAACCCCATCAAAGTAAGGAAACAAATGTAGGCAAATTGCTTGTCTCTAGACTCAGGAAATTAAACTTGCATTGCTTTTGGAGTCCTGTAGCTCAGTGTTTAGAGCACTTGCCTCACAAGCGAGGTTCGATTCCCGGCAGGGCGAAACGTTGGGCAAGTTTCTTTACTCCACACGCCCTGGGTACCTAGCAGTAAGTAGGAACCTGGTTGTTAGTCGATTGGCGGACACTTTTCCAGGGGTAATAATTCCTTCAAAAAAAATAATAAATTGGTTACTTCAATCCACGACTGTTTGTGGGACACTGCTGTGCACAATTGGCTGACGCGTTTAACCCACAAAATATACAGTCAATTCACTTTACAGTATATTCTGTGAAGTGCTTTGAGACGTCTCGACCTGATAAGGCGCTATATAAAATGGAAGGATTATTATTATTTTCTCAGGTGTTTGAAGAATAGGTACTGCTGTTCCCGTGATGATTTACACACCAGTTGATATATACGTATACAAGTAATTGGATTTTTAGAGGGTTGTACTGTTTAAATGACTTATTTATCAGTTGCCAACTGTCAAATTGTAGCTCTCTTTAATACCTGTCAATGTTTTATTAAAATGCTACTGTATTAGTGAGGTGTTATCTAGTTATAATCTTGGTTTGTTTACAGTGATGTGCATAGATGCGAAGATAAACTTTGATTCTAATGCTGCTTTTCGGCAAAAGGAAATATTTGCCCTTCAGGACTGGAGCCAAGAGGATGAACGAGAAAGGACAGCAGCTCAAGCAAATCTCAATTACATTGGACTAGATGGAACCATCGGTTGCTTGGGTAAGACGGGGTTTAAGACGTCATTGGTTGATTAATGAAATCAACAGCAGTAACATTGGCCTACTTATGTCCAGATTTGGTTTGTGTCAATTTATCTTTACTAAACTCATTTTTCTTTTTTGTCGTTCAACTTGTTTGTAACTGATAACACTGCAGGTTAAGGGCTCGGCTAAATGAGATGGTTGCTTGAACTTTATGAATATTTGAAAAATATTGTTGAAATTAAGTCCATATATAGTTATCATTCAGTACATACAAGTGTACAGTTAATTTTGATAAATACATCACCTTCCCCTGCTCTGTGTGGTAGGGACAAAGAAGAGTTGTATGCCTGAATATTAGGTGGTCATCTCAGGAGTAAAACCAATTAATCTTTTAAAAATGGTATTAATGGCTTCAAGTATAGTGACTGTTTTGAGGGGGAAAGCAGTAGCCATTTGTGCCAGCGTTAAGATGCTTTCTAACAATTTTGATAACTGAAATAAGTTAATTTTTGCTGATTTATATTTTGTATACTTATCATTTAAGATGTTTTGACTGTTTTGGAAGGATTTCCACAACCTTTATTCTTATTGCCTCTTTACAGAGATAGTTACAAGCTTTCGCTGGCTTTTGTTTGTTAAATCTACTTTTTGTCTGGGTATTTTATCTGTATTTTATTGGTGGATATTTTATCTTGCAGTAAATGGTGCTGGTCTGGCCATGGCCACTATGGATATAATAAAACTTCATGGAGGAACACCTGCCAATTTTCTTGATGTAGGTGGTGGGGCAACAGCTCAGCAAGTGAAAGAAGCATTTAAGCTTATTACTTCAAACAAAAAGGTAAATGAATCTGAATTCTTACTAAGTTCAATTACTGACTTGCATATTTTTAAACATTCTTCCTCTCTACAAGTAAATCTAGTTTACCCCCACCTCTCCATTTAGAAGTCCCTGAAGGAGAGTGCGTAGATCAGCTACTTGGAAATTTAAAAAACTTAGTAGCACACTTTGACTTGGTGTCTTTGCTTAATGGTCATCCTCATATCAGCAACTTACTGAATATGTAATTGCTGGTGTGAGCTCCTGTTCTATTATTCATGAAAGCTGCATTTTAATGCATCTGTTTTTTTAAAAAGTGTATAAAGCATTGTTCAATGCTCTGAATATGTCATCACAAATGCAACAAAAATGCGTATGACTTGTTCATGAATGATGATCTCATTTGAGTTGCTAATTAGTTTGTAACCCCTTTTAAAGTATAAAGTCCCTCTTTTGTCTATTGTCTGATTAGCTTCGGTAGAACTCTTCATGATGATAATAGTCCTTGCATTTGACCATTATGATGTTAATAATGCTGTTGGGACTCATGGTGTTGAAATTGCAGTGTTGTCAATTTCATAAAATATAACCATAGTAAAAATATCCCTTCTTCATCAAGCACCATTTGATTTGAGCTGTTGTCTAATGGGCTGTTGAGAAGCTGAATCAACTTGGCTTATCTTGTATAACTATTTGTCACCAACATTTTGAGCATGCATCTCTGAACTCATTGGCCGAGATGAGATCAAAATATTGCTATGTGGAATCATGACTAAAAATGATTTAACGTTCAGAAAGCTTGTTGCCAAGACACTGGACAACACTCGGTGTTGTAATGGGCAGTTGGTAGATGGGCATTCTGATCCTGGGAGGAGGAGAAATGTACTTTCTTCATCTGTACCACTCTTATGATTTTGTGACATTCACAAGTCCCTTGTGAGTTACTGATTATACTTACCAATGATATATACTCTGTTCAACATTTACTGAATTGTTCAAAATAGTAGAACATTCAAGGCAGTTAGAATCACTATCTTTCTTGCTCCTATGCCTTGGGTTCAGTTTGTCCAATTGATCACCTTTGTTTTGTGACCGATGGTCATAAGTTTGTCAGAAATAATATGCTAGGAATTTCTGATTATCCCTGTTGTGAAATTGGTCAGAGCTGAGAGAATTTTGAAAATGCTACACAGAAAAGGAACAATTTACTGAAGACACATAACGGATAAAGATTACAACACTGTACACTTCTGATATAAGGGATCAGCTAAGATAGATGAATTGGAGAATGAGAACAGGCAGAATTATCTGTTTTTAATATGAAGCAGCCTGAAAATAAAAAGGTAAACGTGTATCCAGACTTCGTCATGAATGATTAATTGTGAATAACCACAGAGTACCATAATGATAGCACTCTTACAATTAGCTGAGAGACATAATAAAAAAAATGCATGACTGTAATGTCGACAGTCAAAGTATCAGAAACTGCAACTCAGTTTCCCTCAACTTTTGCTGCTGGTAAATGTCTTCCAATTTCACGTGGAGCAGAAGTGACCACTGTGGTTTATCGCACACTGCACTGTTACACTGGCAGATTTCAGACAAATTTTAGTGTGTGATTTGGCTTTTTGAAGACTGATTATCTATTCCCTACAAGTGCTATTTTTATGTTGCTTAGGTTAGTTTCATACTAAGCAGAAATACATATTGAATGATACATGCAGCACATTTAGAACAGAGCTTTGTATGTTTTTTATTTGATCTTGCAACATAAACTTGGCTTCAACTATTAGGAAGCCTGTAACAGCAGGCAGAAAAAACAAAATCCTCTTATCAGCTTGTGTAAAAAGCAATCATTAGTGATTTCTTACATTGAAACCATGTGAGCGATTAATCATAAGAATATTGATTTACTTTTTTTTACCAACAGCAAAATAATTCAGTGAATCAAAACACTAAGGTCTGTTGTTCATCATGTGTAAACCTTGTGTCCAGGAAGAATCACCTGTATTATTATTTATGTAACTAATCATGAAAACTCAATTATCGTTAATTACAAAATTAGGGCCATCTGCAATTCCTTCTGAACACATGGCTTACATATGACAGATAATAGACCTCACTGTCTACTCATCCAAAGCACAGAACATTGATTCAGAACCTTGTAGGTTTATAATATTAACAAATAATAATAATCCTTGCATTTGATATAACGCCTAATCACATCTTCAAGACAATATACTGTGAAGCGAATTGACTGTTTATTTTGTGGGCGAAATGTGGCAGCCAATTGTGCACTGCAGTGTCTCACAAACAGTCGTGGATTGAGTGACCAAATTATTATTTTTTTTGAAGGATTATTGCCCCCGGAAAAGCAATCCACCAATCGAATAACAACCGGGCTCCTACTTACCTCTAGGTAAACAGGTGTGTGGAGTAAGGAAACTTGCCCAACGTTTCGCCTACCCTGGAATTGAACCCAGGTCCTCTCGCTTGCGTTTAAGTGCTTAAACCACTAAGCTACAGGACAGCATGTGGTATTGGGTGCAAGCCCCTCCACTGCATCCACAGGAGCTCCAATACATAAAGGAGGGTTTTTGCCGCAAATTTAACCTGCATTGGAACCTTGCTGTCCTTGAAGAGAGATGGGCATGACCAGAATGCCCTTTCTCCTTTTCTGCATGGTTCTTCAGAACAGTGTCCAGACATAGGTTGGTGTCCAACAAAACCACCAGGTACTGATAAGAGTGCCTCTTGTATCTTCCAATCAATACCCCTTGATGTCTTCTCTTGAACCATACAGAACCATGATTCCGCACTTTGACATCCCAGTTGGAATGAGAAGAGTCTCATTCTCATTCAGAGTGTGTAATTAGCTGAGACACTTCAATCCTTTAATCCGTTCGAACCTACCTTACAAAGTTTATTCATGCCTCTGCTTCTAAGAAAAAGTTAAGCTTTATCTCCCTTTTCATCTTTCACATAAATTATTTTAGATCTTAAATGTGCACTGGGTGATTTGATAAGATTCGAGGCCTCCACTGAGAACCAGTAACTTCAATTTTTATCAATTATGCAAACTTAAACATTAGTGCTTCAGGGCTAAGAGAACAGATGGAGCAAGAGTTTGCAAAAAGAGAGCCGTAAGCAAAAAAGGCAGAATTTTACAAATGGCAGAAAGGGATACCATGAAAATGAACAAGTGAAAATAGAAAAATGACTGCAAAGAAAGTTAAAAGTTCAAAACAAATTAAGAGCATTAAGAAACAACTAACCTGAAGAATAGAAGAAAATGTAAAAAACAGAAATGCAATGGCTTAGAGAATTGGTCACCATAAGGTGGAGCAAATTCAATCCTGCGATGTTGGGTAACATGCAAATGGAAGATAAGCAATTTTCTAGTGAGATTGAAAGCAGGATCAATTTATGATGCTTTCATCTATGAGCCTACTCCTGGAAATAGTGGCCTATCAAGTCATGTGCTGAGATGCAAATTTAAAGAGATGGGAGAATATAATTTTAGAAAGCATATAATACCTTGATTCTTTTTATATCCTCCATATTTCCTCTATTTCCCCTCTGCCCCCATTTCAATAAAAAGCACCTCAACCAAGACAAGGAATTTGCTGTTTTGACAATTCAGAGCTAAACACTTTTTAATGTCTCGGTTAGCATTGTGATGGGTGAATGTACCATAGGCAAGTGTGTAGATATGAAGGCAGTGACTTCTGTGGGTAAAACTAGGTTGATGGAAAAGCAGTGGAATTGGTCCTGAGTTAATACGCTCCGAATCCTGGATGTTATTTCAGGTTACACGTATTAAAAATTACAGAGATCAAAATTTATCAGGTATTTGAATATAGTGAATATTCAGAGCTGATGTTCATAAGATTAGTAAATCCGAACTGGATATTAATTATATCACTTGTTAAATACTTGTTAAATACTTCATCACTTCCAGGCTCAACTGTGCAAACGCCCTGCTTGTCCGCCTTCCCAATTCCTCCCTCCACAGGCTGCAGATAATCCAGAACTCTGCAGCTTGTGTCCTCTCCCGCACCAAACTCCGTGACGCCATCTCCTCCATTGGCTCCCTATCCTTCAGAGGATCCAGTTCAAAATCCTGGTCCTCACCTACAAAGCCCTCTATAATCTCGGCCCCTACCTATGTGACCTCCTAACTCCCTTCCAACCTGCTCAGCCGATCCACCCACCCCGCCATTGGCGGGAGAGCCTTCAGCCACTCTGCCCCCAACGTCTGGAACTCCATCCCCAATCACTCCGCCTCGCCCCCTTCCTTAGCCTCATTCAAGTCCCGCCTCAAAACCCTCCTCTTCGACCATGCCTTTGACCACCCCCCTTCCCCTCCCCTCCCTCTCCCCCCTGACCCCAGCTCGGGTCTGAAATGCTGTACATTGTCCAGCGCTTTGGGACGTCCTCCCGACATGAAAGGCGCTATACAAATGTAATCTTGTTGTTTAGTGAGATAATAATCCTTGCATTTGATATAGCAGCTTATAATGTTGTTGAAATGTCTCAAAATGCTTCAAGCTCCTTATTGATGACTTCTATTTAGAGCTTGCCTATCTGATCATATGTGTTGTTGGTGAATGGATGATGTAAAATTATCATTATCACTGAGGTATTTTTGATACTTAGTAAATGTCAATGAATAAGATACTTATTGGATTAGTATTTTACCTAGTTGAATACATTTTTGATTTTATGAATGCATCGGAAAAGGTAAAATTCTATTATTACTTAATTATATTGAAAATTTAGTCAACTATTAACAGCATTGATTTGAAAATATATATTTTAGAGTATCTGGCTAAAACTACAGCATAATTTTATTCCTTTTTGAGATTTGTCTAAAATTTAAAAAGTGATGTGTAGTGTGTCTGGCTGTGGCAGCTAAACTAGAATTTTGGAAATCAGCTTATTTGGCTAACTGAAAGCTGTGGTAAGTATGAAGTACATTTACTGACTACTCTGTTTGACTAAAATAGTTTGTACTTGTCACATTCTCGGCCTAATGATTTTAATAACCACAAGTTATCAAAATGAGTGTTTCAACTGATTTGACCATCTTATACCTGCTATGTATATCTTACTTGAAATTTAAATTAAAAAATGGGCTTGACTATTGGAGCTGGTAATAATTACTGTGTACTTCCTCCTTCTAGGTACTCGCTATTCTGGTAAATATATTTGGTGGGATCATGCGCTGTGATATTATTGCTCAAGGTATCATTATGGCTGTAAAAGACTTAGAATTGAAGATTCCTATTGTTGTTAGATTGCAAGGTGAGTAAGGCTGTGTTATAGTAATCTAATTTAACATGAAAGAACATGCTGATCTCTTCTCTCTTTATCATCAGTAGGTGATAAGAGTAGGTACTTCTGATAACATTTAAACTTACGGTATTTGTTACCCATTCGCACTATTCTGGTGCTCTTTGCCATGCTGGGTAACATTTCTTATGATCTGGCTAAAATTGTTAACTTAAAGTGATATTAATAAACCTTGCAGTTGATGTAACACCTTGTGTGTCAGTCTGCTCATCTCTGGGAGCACTCTCGTCTCTGATTCAGAAGGTTGTGAACTTGGAACTCATTGTCCAATACAATGCTCGGGGTGTGCTGCATTGTTGGAGGTGCTGTCATTTGGATGAGATGTTGAATTGAGGCTCTGTCTGCCTGGCCAGATGGACATTAAAAAATCCCATGACACTGTTCAAAAGAGAAGGAGTTTGTCCCGGTCCTGTTTGTCGAACATTGCTGTGCAAATTGGCTGCTGCATTCGACCATAAAACACAAGACACTCCACTTTACAATATATCCAGTGAAGTACTTTGGGATGCCCTCCTAATGTGAAAGGAGCTATACTAAATAATTATTATTATTATTGTGTCATTGAAACATCTCAAACGCTTCACAGGATTTTACTGTGAAGTGTAGTGACTGTATATTTGTAGGTAAAAGCGGCAGCCAATTTGTGCACAGCAATACTCCACAATCAGGCGTGAAGTGACTGAGCATTTTTTTTAATCTGGGGATGTTGGCCCTTTTTGAATAATGTCATCGATCTTTAACGTCCACTTGGCGGTCGGAATTTTGGATTAATGTGTTACCTGAAGGATGGCACCTCAGTCAATGCTACACTCCCCCAACACTGCATAGGAGCTGAGAAGCTGCATGCAAATGTCAGAAAAGTTAATGACTTACTCTAAGTCATAGTGCTGCACTACCTATCTAAAACTGAGTTTAAGGCTGAATACTTTCTATGCTGTTTCCAATTTGTTTTAATTTTGATGGAATTTTGATTTCCAACAAGGATCTTCCCAAAACTGAAAGACTAAAAGACAAATGTTGGGCACTTGGTTGCACTTGATCTTTATGACTGAGGAAACCATTGGGGCGAAGTTCTTTCAGGGAGTTAGGTGCAAGAAGGACAAGAAGGTGTGGGCCTTCTTGTAGGCTTTGTGCATCATCTAATTTTATTAGCATGTGTTCCACGGGCATTTTGGTCCACATTTTAATCTCCCTGATTAATCTCAAATTATATTGTTTGCCTTATTTTTTGTGTTTGCTAGTGGTGTCCCTTTGCATTTTAAATTTAAGTTTTTCTGGAATTTATTTCACCAGTTGATGTGTCTGCTGAACTCTATGTTTGTGTTTCACTTGTAGGTTCTAAGGTTGATGATGCTAAAGCACTGATTGCTTCCAGCACCCTCAAGATTTTAGGATGTGATGACTTGGATGAAGCTGCTAAAATGGTAAGTGTAAAATTGCTTCGGTAACCAGAATTCACAAACCACCTTTAGACTGTAGTTATGTAATTTGTGCAATCTATTTATTGTGGGAAGTTTGTTACTTCCAGCTTCTTTCAACGTAATTGCCACAGACTTCATTACTTGTACATTAAATCTGACTAACAGATTTTTTTTCAAGAAGTTAATTTTACCATTTTATAGAATTCTTAAATTCTTAGATTTATAAAGAACCTTGAATTGCTTGTCTATATTCTTTCATCTTAAAATATATTTCTTGTGTATAGGTTGTAAAGCTTTCAGAAATAGTATCTTTGGCAATGGAGGCTCAGGTGGATGTCAAGTTTGAGCTGCCAATTTAAGACGTACATTAAGGAAACTATTCCTAGCCGCTTAATGTGTTCTAGATTGTGGTATTCCTCTTAAACTGTTTCTTTTTTCTTTATTCTTGTGAACACAAGTTATGGTACTGCAAGAAATATAATTTTGACTTGTTAGCATGGACCTTTTTTATATACTGTATTGTGATGGTTCTCCAAATGCAAAGAAACAGGCAGAAACCAGATGTGATGCAGATGTATTTTCAGAAATGTTCAACAATCCATCTAATTAAATGCGCACATATTAAATAAAGCTTTCAAGACCCATTGACAACTCACAAATTCAGCTGCAGGTCCAAAGATGCAGCTAAGTGGTAGAAGCAGTTATGTCTTCACATTGGGCATTGCTTTTCATCTGGCTTCCCCTGTAGTCTATGCATTTAGTTACTGTAAAGTGTAAAGTTATTTGCTAACTAAGTACCTGCACTTTTGTCTCAATTGAAACTATTTTCTGGGATGCAATTTATGCACTGGATATTAACTCAGTTATTGTAATAATTTATATTGGAAAGTCAAATCTATCTAACATAGAATACTCCTTACTGAGAATTACCAGGTGCTACCATTATATGAATGCATTATATTTATTTGTAAACAAATATCTGAACACTTCAAAATAATTTGGGGTAAATTATGATTTGAGCTTAATTAATGAATGTGTTAATCATACTTGTAAAGAAGCATTTGTAAAGAAAATGCCTTTTCCATGTCAAAGGAAAATCCTTTGCCTTTATGTATGTCAAAGGATGTTTGTTGCTGCTGTTTTGTTTGACATTGGAGAATGTGGAATAATTTGTTGTTTAAAAATACATTGAATTGTTCCGTTGTGAATGTAATGAGATATTTGTGCAAATATGTTATTTAAACCTTGGAAGTAAGTGTTGGGAGATTTTCATATGAATTATCAAACATCTGCCTACACTGCAGAAATAAATCATCTGTGCAAATCTGCTTTTTGTAACTATGTTCCTCTATGCAAAATGCCATTATTTAGTTTTACTCATGTTTATATCTGTGTTCTGTCTAAATAAAATTGTTATTGTTGCAATATTATTTGACTTCACACCCAGACTTTGAACAAAGTGCTCCCACTTCATAACAACACTTGAGTTACTTACTTGTGTGAGAGCAGTACAGTTGCAGTACTGTAAGTGTTTATAGGAGACATTGCCGAGTTACATAGACCCAATTATGTACTTTGTTACAAATTGAAGTCATTATTTTTCAGTAAAGGAGTTATAATGCCACTATTGTATCATTTTTAATTTTGTTCCTTGTTCCTACAATTCACGTATAAACTGACAAGTAGACAATTTGGCTATCTGGTGATTATTTTGAAGAACTTAGTTCAATGCATATTGAGACTCCCTTTCATATTTTTTTGAACTTTTGTGTGGGAATATAACCAGTACTGTCAAAGGGCCTTTTGTAACTACAGAATATCTGCCTCGTTATTGATGGCTATACATGCATTGTCTTATTTTTAATTTATTGCATAAATTGCATGAAGAGTTACCCAGTATAATACAGTACTTCTGAACACAATAATGAGAAGAGATAAATAGAGCATAAATACAGAAAATAATAGCAGGCTTCTACAAAGCACTGAGCCAGTCCCACAGAGCATTTTTTTTTACAGTTCTGAGGACTGAAATTCCAGTTGGTGTTATTTGCAGTTAATCCTGTTATGGATAGACATTGTTAATGTTGCTACATGTGATCCTGATTTTTTGTGCCATAACCGGCATCCTGATAATGGGGAGCTTTGGTATATGGGGAGTTAAGTCATGTAGAGACAGTTCTATAAAGACCATAATATTACTTTATATTATAAATTAAGTCTCGAACTGAAACAAATCCAGTTTCCATTATGAACAGATATGAGTGTTACAATTAGCCAAGTTGATACCTAATTATCTCTTGTATTTCATACCAAATTAATGTGCTTCCTTTGTTAAAATTCTGATTGTGTCTGTCAGCAGGAAGTCAGAGAGGTCTAACTTTTATAAGAAAGACCTAGCAAACAGACCTCCAAATAAATTATTAATTCGCTTCATGGCTGTTTGTGGGACCTTGAAGATTGTTTCCCTTACAAAACCAGACACAACCTTTGACAGCAACTACCTGTTCTTTGAGATCAAGATCCACTTCAATTCTTTCCTCTATGACCATGCTATTAGCTGAAGCAAAAGTTTTAAATTTAAGTGGAGCCAATTTTGCTGGTATGAGAGAGGATTTAGCCAAAATAAACTGGGAAACTAGACTGAAGGATTTGACAGTAGACCAGCAATGGCAGACATTTAAGGAGATAGTGCAAAATTCCCAGCGAGCACGTATTCCTTTGAGGAATAAGAATGCCATGGAAAAGGTGGCCCAACCGTGGCTAACTAGAGCAGTTTGAGAAAGTATAAAGTTAAAGGAAGAAGGCTATAAAACAGCTAAGATGAGTAGTAAACCCGAGGATTGGGATAACTTTAGGGATCAACAAAGGAGAATCAAAAAACAACAAGATTTCATTTATAGAGCGCCTTTCACGTCGGGAGGACATCCCAAGGCGCTGGACAGTTGGGTCGGGGCCCGAGCAGGGTGAGGGGAGGGAAGGGAGAGAGCGAGGAGGGGTTAGAGAGTCGAGAGGGGAGCTGAAGGTGTGGTCGAAAAGAAAGGTCTTGAGACCGGCCTTAAAGGAGGAAACGGAGGAGGCAAGGCGAAGGCACTGGGGAATGGAGTTCCAAAACCTAGGGGCTGAGAGGCTAAAGGCCCGGCCACCGATGGTAGGGCGGTTGGGGCAGGGGATGTGGAGCAGACGGGAGCCAGAGGAACGGAGGGTACAGGCAGGTAAGTAGGGGGATAGTGGGTCGGAGAGGTAGGAGGGAGCAAGGCCGTGAATTGCCTTGTAGGTGAGGATGAGGATTAAGTGATTAAGAGTGATTATGATTAAAAAAGTGATTAAGAGGAAGAAAATGGATTATGAGGGAAAACTAGTGAAGAACATAAAGACAGACTGCAAGAGTTTTTATAAATATATATAGAGGAAGAGGCTGTCGAAGGTAAATGTGGGTCCGCTACAGGCAGAGACGGGGGGAATTATATAGGGGACAAAGACATGGCAGAGTCAAAAGTCAAAGCAAAAGTACTTTGCTACTGTCTTCACCGTAGAAGACACTGAAAACCTACCAAGAATAGAGGGGAACCAAGAAGACAATGTTAGCGAGCAACTTGGGGAATTAATATTAGTAAAGAAATGGTTTTAGGTAAATTGTCAGGTCTTAAAACTGATAAATCTCCTGGACCTGATGGCCTACATCCTAAAGTTTTAAAAGAGGTGGCTACTGAGATAATGGATGGCTTGTCTTTGATCTTCCAAAATTCTCTGGATTCTGGAATGGTTCCCATTGATTGGAGATTGCAAATGTAACACCACTATTTAAGAAGAGTGGGAGAGAAAGGATGGGGAACTAAAGACCAGTTAGTCTGACATCAGTGGTAGGGAAAATTCTTGAGTCCTTAATTAAAGATGTCGTTATGGGATTCCAGGAAGACCATAACAAGATTAGGCAGAGTCAACATGGCTTTACAAAAGGGAAGTCATGCTTAACTAATCTTTCAGAGTTTTTTGAAGATGTATCTAGCAGGTTAGATAGGGGGGAACCAGTAGATGTAGTATATTTAGATTTTAAAAAGGCATTTGACAAAGTGCCACACAAAAGGCTATTGCACAAGGTTAAGGCCCACGGGATTAATCAGAACATATTAGCGTGGATTGAAAAGTGGTTAACGGGTAGAAAACAGAATAGGGATAAACGGATCATTCTCGAATTGGCAGGATGTGACTAATGGAGTGCCACAAGGATCAGTGCTTGGGCCTCAGCTATTTACAATTTACATCAATGATCTAGACGAGGATATTGAATGTAACGAATCTAAATTCGCGGATGACACTAAACTAGGTGGGAGAGTAAGCTCTGAGGATGATACAAAAAGATTGCAACAGGATATAGATAGGCTAGGGGAGTGGGCGAGTAGGTGGCAGATGGAATTTAATGTGGGGAAGTGTGAAGTTATTCACCTAGGTAGAAAAAATAGAAAAATAGATTATTTTCAGAGGGGGAGAGATTAGATAGTGTTAGTGTTCAGACGGATTTGGGCGTCCTTGTACACCAGTCTCAAAAAGTTAGTTTGCAGGTGCAGCAAGCAACTAAGAAGGCGAAGGGCATGTTAGCGTTCATTGCAAAAGGTTTAGAGTACAAGGGTAGGGAAGTCTTGCTGCAACTGTATAGGGCTTTGGTGAGACCGCACCTAGAGTATTGTGTGCAGTTTTAGTCTCCTTATTTAAAAAGACATACTTGCCCTAGAGGGGGTGCAGCATAGATTCACTCGGTTAGTTCCAGGATGAGGGGACTGACCTGTGAGTATACTCTGAATAAACTAGGGCTATATTCTCTAGAGTACAAAAGAATTAGGGGAGACCTTATTGAAACATAAGATTCTTAAAGGGCTGAATAAAGTAGACACTGAGGGACTGTTTCCCCTGGTAGGAGAATCTATAACCGGGGTTCACAGTCTTAAAATTAAGGGTCAGCCTTTTAGAACAAAGTTGAGGAAACATTTCTTCACTCAGAGGGTAGTGAATTTATGGAATTCACTACCCCAGAAGGCTGTAGATGCTCAGTCCTTGAACATCTTCAAGGCTGAGACTGATAGATTTTTTAAAAATAGAGGGATTAGGGGATTTGGGGATAGGGCAGGAAATTAGAGTTAGGTCTGAAGATCAGCCATGATCTTATCGAATGGTGGGACAGGCTCGAGGGGCTGAATGGCCTACTCCTGCTCCTAATTCTTATGTTCTAATATAGCCATCCATACCCTCAAAAAGCCTTTCTTTGCATGTGCTTCTCTAATTCCCTTTTAAATGCTACCAAATAGCCATGCTCCAAGAGCCAGCCCAGGTAAATCATTACATTTTCTAACAGCTTTGGGAGTGAAAAAACTTCCTAACTTTCCCTTTTCTAATGCAAGGATTATTATTTCATGCTTCCACTTAAATCTATGCCCTCTTGTCTTGAAATCACTTACCAACAGAAAGATTTAATCTTCTAAAGCCCTATCATTGTCTTCAACACTTCTCATATCACCCACCCATCAATCTTCTCTGTTCCAGTAGAGAGAGCCCTTACCTGTCCAGCATGTCTTCATAACTGTAACCTAAGACTTTTAGTCTTGTCCTCATGCATGTACAGCTCACCCCAAAGTGCACACAATAAAGATTCATCATTACTTTCTTAATTTAAAATTAATTTAAAATTAATTTAAAATTAAGTATATGGAGCTTCTGTTATCAAAAGGTAGGGTGGAATGTGTCATGTGATACAATATCATTATGAGATGCCCTCCTGATGTGAAAGCTGCCATACCGAATGCAAAGATTATTTTGATATTGACTACTTTTGATTATGTTTTGGACTTGTATGAAAGTTGTTCCTGGTGATAACAAATCTTGCATTCCCTCCCCTCCCCCCTTAGTATAATTTCAGTGAAGTTTAATTTGAAATGTTATCATTTGCAAAATAACAAAATTTAACTTCTATTCTAAATTTTTAAACCAAACATGCAGTGAGACTAATCTGAGAGGCTGACTTTGAAGTTGAAAGACCGTATATCAGCATTGAAGAATAGCTTCTGGACATATAAGATGTAATGGTTGACTGGTTGCTCTATAGTTTACAGATAGAGTGAAGCTCAACAGAACAGTTTGTTAAACGTATTACCCTGGAGTTGAGGTGTTGTACCAAAATAAATTGTGTACAAACCTAATAAGATGGGGAATTATCTAAAAGGAAAAGTACATAAACAATTTGGACTGACAAGAATATGTACATATACAGACAATTGATGAAAAGTTATCTGGCACCACATTCTTACTTTAATAATAGCTAATAATAAAAATGGTTACAACAAACAAAAACATAATGGAATATATAGAGAACAATAAGATTTGTACTGGCAGTAAAAAGGCAATAGTAGTTATTTTTTGTTTCATTCAAGATATTGAC